GCGTCATTCGTTGCTAACGCGTCGCCTTTATTGTCGACGAAGTGTTCACATTTTTTGTTCAATCGTTCTGTAGGTTCGTCACCGTCAAAATTCGTTTTTAAATGTTTTCCACTTTCATCTGGATTTAATTCGTTATTCGTGTTATTCTTATCTGTAGGGACTAATTCATTTTCGGTGCGTTCAATCATCAGCTCATTCGGCTCAGCCGAGTCGTTTGGACATAAACGGTCATCATCGGCACACTTTTCAACAGGATATGGTTCAGTAGWATTGTTTTCCGCAACGTCATTCGCTGCTAACCCGTCGGCTTTATTGTCGACAAAGTGTTCGCATTTTTTATTCAATCGTCCTGTAGGTTCGTCACCATCGCCATCATCGTCTGCGACATCGATGATCATCGGGGGACGGCCATCGTTGTCTTCTCGGCTTCCGCTGTTGCAGTCTACCATGGTGGCGTAAGTGCTCCGTTCTCCCACTGCAGGCAGTCGATCACGCGGATAATCTATGACGTCACCCTCGAGGTCAATGAAACCTCCATCGTTATCACCCACGTTGTGGTGTGTCGACAGATCAGCGGAATCGTCAGCTGCAGTATAGTCGTCTCCGCCGTCGTGATTATCGACGATTTCGCGTACCAACGGATTTGCGTCTTTGGTGGACGATCCGTCGTCGGCGGAATCGTCTTCTGAAGARTCGCATTCGTCGTAATAGTCTTTAGACACGATCAGACTGTCCTTAGAATCTCCTCCGTCGTCACCTCCCCGATGGCCATCACTGTCACCGGARGCCGATGGAGTAATTAGTACATTCCTATTTCGGCGCATATTCATTAGTGCTTTTACGGAATCCGAAATGGTTTTTTGTTCGATTTCGTTTAATTTAATTCTCATGGCTTGTTCCGCTTCGATACCACCCGTACTCCTGCATGGATATATATATAAAAAAAAAAGTTTTTCATTATTTTTACTTAAGCGGATATCTGTGGTATAAGTATTGTTTTCTACTGAAATTAATAACTAATTCTCACCAAGCTTCTGCACATAAACGGTCCTTTTTGAATATTGGCCTCTCATCCARATTGCATAGTTCTTTCTATAAAAATAAACACAATTTTCAAACAGCTTAAATAATGTAGAATATACAATTAAGTGTTTATCAAATTACATAGGTAATAAAATATGAAAACGTTTGTAATATTTTTAGTGTTTAACTTGGATATCAATGATATCATACTATTTAGAAATCCGGTTGATTTTTTAAAAACAATAATATYGGCAATATAATAATAATAATATTATTATATCATCACTTAAGTGACACGAGGTTGTTTATTGTCTATTATTTGAAAAAAAAAATAGAACAATGATATACTGACATAATTTTAAAACTTACACATTTAATAGTTAACGTTTTTCGATAGTTTTTTATCTTCGAAATTACACTATTTCCAGTTAAAGATAAAACGCGCAAAGATTCCATGTTGGTAAAAACCTATAAAGTTGGAAACAACAAAAAATTGAATCTCATGTGCAATTCACAATCATTTATCAGTTATAATTAGTACTTAGTAGTTTTCTAGATATCAACTTACATTAATGATTTCTGGATCATCTAGGTGGTTAAATGAAAGATCGAGTATAGACAACGTTTTACAGCTGGCCAAATGAGCAATGTCGCTCGCTGTAGAAAGCTTGTTGTGAGATATAATCAACGAATTCAGGTCTTGCAAGTGATCTAAAATGTATTTATTTTTTTAAATAATAATAATAAYAATAATATCCATTATTTTTCAATTCAACTTGCTTGTTTGCATTACTTGCCTAAGTTTTCAATAATCTTAACGAAATTATGGCTCAAATTTATCGTGTCGAGTTTGACTAAAAAATCAAGATTTTCGATTTTCGAGATTGCGTTGTTGTGCATGTACAAACAGACGAGCTTTGTTTGATTGTCGAGTCCAGAAATATTCGTTATGCAATTGTTTTCTAACCACAGACATTTTAGCCCAGTATACTCATCTAAGTTTTCAATCTTTGAAAATCCTTGAAACAACATTATGATATTAAGCACTAAAGTATATTTACTACACACRGCCACATGRACTTATTTAAAGAGCTTTGCGGAACTCTCAGTCCAAATAATTAGTATGGTGCATTTGTAAATATTATAATAATATTATGTATAACTACGCAGTGAGCATATTTTTTGCATACCTCTAAAATGAAGATAAAGTACATCATTGAGACTAGGGATTAAGTACAATTTATTTTGTTTGCATATTTCTTTGAGTGTTTCTTTCGTCATTCTGAAAATCATATTTGTTTTCAATTGTATTAATTTTTATTTTTATAACTTAAAGAAAAACGAAATAATAGTTCAAAATACGTATTATATGCTAGTATTTAAAATGAAAACATCTTACTTCAATTCCAATTGTATTGTGGTGTTATATGATGTATTTAATGAATATTATTTTATTTAAATATAATATAGCATAATATTCATAACCGTTATGGATTGTATGGATTAAATTGAGGTGTTTTTTAGTTTATATAATAACGTATTTTTAGTACAAAACTATAAAATAATAAGTGTGGAATAAATATAGTACCTATAGTCTAAAACACGCACATTAATACTATGTATTGAAACTTAAAATAATACAATGCACGCTTATAATTATTGATTCATAAAACATATTATCGCATCAATAATGGTTCTGCAATATTTGCAGGCAGTTAGTGTCTATAGATATTAGATAGACAGCGACTTTRCAAGATATTTATTAAATTGAACTTCAACTGCGTAAAGAAATTTG